CTGGGCCGTGCTGAACTGCGATGTGCCATGCCGCGATTGTGCTCTATATAGCGTTGTGGATCGAGTCCTCCCTGGCATCCGAGTCCTGACCGAACTGATCTGGATCGTAAGCTCGAGCTGCCTGAGCAGATGGTAGCTGCCCCAGAACTAATCGACAGAGGGAACATGCCAAGAGGACGCGCCGCGGAACGTCCCAAGGGACGCGCCAGGCGACGTGCCAGGGGACGTGCCATGGGCCATGGGCACGCACCGCGGGACGTGCCAAGGGGACGCGCTACGGAACGTGCCAGTGGACGTGCACCGCGCGACGTGCCAGGGGGACTCGCCACGGGACTCTCCGCGGAACGTGCCAGGCAACATGCCAGGCTGCAATGCTAAGGGTATCGATATTGATGTACCGTGCCGAGGGCTGTGCTGTGCCTGGGCGACCTGGACACGTGAAAACACGCGTTTTGGTCTAGACGATGTGAGCACATCCTAATCCTGGACACGTGCAAATAAGCGTCTCGCTCGAGACATCCTCAACAAATGCTCATGCTAGACGTCCGCCTGGGCGACCTGGACACGTGAAAACAAGCCTCTGGTTCAAGACATCCTCAACAAATCCTCATGCTAGACATCTGTCTAGGCCACCTGGAGGCGTGAAACCAAGCGTCTCGCTCGAGACATCCTCAAGACCTGGGCACGTGAAAACAAGCAATCCGCTTGAGAGATCCTCAGAATTCAGGTCCCCAGGAGAGGACAATCTATAACACAAAACAAGCGTTTCGCTCGAGACATCCTCAACAAATTCTGGAAAAACAAGCGTTTCGCTAGGGACATCCTCAATTTTTAATTCGCCGGCCCTACGCGACCTCGTTATTTATCGCAAAAAAAATTCGCCGGCCCTACAGCCGTCGAAACCGGGGGGAAACAAACTAAAAGAGAACCCTGGGCCTTTGCCCTTTCCGGGAAAAATGCACACGCGCGCGCCGTCGCGCGCGCCCTTCGGTATCGGAAAGATTTCGCAATCGAGCTTCCAAAAAAAAACATACAAAAAACACAGGGTTTTGCAACACTGATTTGCTAACATGATCGACCCACGAACCCGGAAAGGAATGTAGAACTGTAACACATGGCAGCGTTTTCAAAGACACCTGATTGGGTGACGGGCAAATGCAATACTGAAGGTATCGATCTTGATGTACCCTGCCGAGGGCTGTGCTGTGCTGCGCCGTGCTGAATTGCGATGTGCCATGGCGCGACTGTGCTCTATAGCCTCGTGGATCGAGTCCTCCTTTGCATCCGAGTCCTGACCGAACTGATCTGGATCTTAAGCTCGAGCTGCCTGAACACATAGTAGCTGCCCCAGAGCTAATGGACAGGGGAACATGCCAGGAGGACGCGCCGCGAAACGTCCCAAGGGATGCGCCAGGCGACGTGCCAGGGGACGTGCCGTGGGGTCGCACCGCGGGACGTGCCAAGGGGACGCGCTACGGAACGTGCCAATGGATGTGCCACGGGATGTGCCAGGGGACGCGCGACGCGACGTGCCAGGGGGACTCGCCAAAGGACGCCCCACGGAACGTGCCAAGGAACGTGCCAAGTTGCAATGCTGAGTGCATCGACCTTGATGTACCGTGCCGAAATCAGTGCTGTGCTGCGCCGTGCTGAATTGCGATGTGCCATGGCGCGATTGTGCTCTATAGCCTCGTGGATCGAGTCCTCCTTTGCATCCGAGTCCTGACCGAACTGATCTGGATCTTAAGCTCGAGCTGCCTGAACACATAGTAGCTGCCCCAGAGCTAATGGACGTCGTCGGATCGTGAAAGCGTGGGCTCTACAGACCCCCAAGAGACCCTCCAAGAGAACCCCAAGACACCGCTCCACGCAAGGCTCTAAGATGAGACTTTGTCGTCGTCGTCGCCGCCGCCGCCACCGCGACGTCGTCGTCGTGGGCTCTACAGACCCCCAAGAGACCCTCCAAGAGACCCCCCACGCAAGGCTCTAAGATGAGACTTTGTCGTCGTCGTCGCCGCCGCCGCCCTGTCCTCGATCCCTCGATCGTGTAAGCGTGGGCTCTACAGACCCTCAAGAGACCCTCCAAGAGAACCCCAAGAGACCCCCCCACGCAAGGCTCTAAGATGAGACTTTGTCGTCGTCGTCGCCGCCGCCGCCGCCACCGCGACGTCGTCGTCGTCGTCGCGCTGTCCTCGAGCCCTCGATCGTGTAAGCGTGGGCTCTGCAGACCCCCAAGAGACCCTCCCAGAGAACCCCCGGAGACCCCCCCACGAGAGGCTCTAAGATGAGACTTTGTCGTCGTCGTCGTCGCCGCCGCCACCGCGACGTCGTCGTCGTCGTCGCGCTGTCCTCGATCACTCGATCGTGAAAGCGTGGGCTCTACAGACCCCCAAGAGACCCTCCAAGAGAACCCCGAGACACCCCACGCAAGGCTCTAAGATGAGACTTTGTCGTCGTCGTCGCCGCCGCCGCCACCGCGACGTCGTCGTCGTCGTCGCGCTGTCCTCGATCACTCGATCGTGAAAGCGTGGGCTCTACAGACCCCCCAGGAGACCCTCCCAGAGAACCCCAAGACACCGCTCCACGCAAGGCTCTAAGATGAGACTTTGTCGTCGTCGTCGCCGCCGCCGCCACCGCGCGTGGGCTCTACAGACCCCCAAGAGACCCTCCAAGAGACCCCCCACGCAAGGCTCTAAGATGAGACTTTGTCGTCGTCGTCGCCGCCGCCGCCCTGTCCTCGATCCCTCGATCGTGTAAGCGTGGGCTCTACAGACCCTCAAGAGACCCTCCAAGAGAACCCCAAGAGACCCCCCCACGCAAGGCTCTAAGATGAGACTTTGTCGTCGTCATCGCCGCCGCCGCCGCCACCGCGACGTCGTCGTCGTCGTCGCGCTGTCCTCGAGCCCTCGATCGTGTAAGCGTGGGCTCTGCAGACCCCCAAGAGACCCTCCCAGAGAACCCCCGGAGACCCCCCCACGAGAGGCTCTAAGATGAGACTTTGTCGTCGTCGTCGCCGCCGCCGCCACCGCGACGTGGTCGTCATCGTCGCGCTGTCCTCGATCCCTCGATCGTGTAAGCGTGGGCTCTACAAACCGTCAAGAGACCCTCCAAGAGAACCCCAAGAGACCCCCCCACGCAAGGCTCTAAGATGAGACTTTGTCGTCGTCGTCGTCGCCGCCGCCGCCACCGCGACGTCGTCGTCGTCGTCGCGCTGTCCTCGATCCCTCGATCGTGTAAGCGTGGGCTCTACAGACCCTCCAGAGACCCTCCAAGAGAACCCCAAGAGACCCCCCCACGCAAGGCTCTAAGATGAGACTTTGTCGTCGTGGTGGACGCCGCCGCCACCGCGACGTCGTCGTCGTCGCGCTGTCCTCGACCCGTCGATCATGTAAGCGTGGACTCTACAAACCGTCCAAGAGAACCCCAAGAGACGTCGTCGTCGTCGTCGTCGTCGTCGTCGTCGTCGCCGCTCCCAGAGCCTTCGGGGCCTCTCCTTGGCCCTCCTACGGAAAATCCTGCAAAACCTAGCGAATTAGTCGAGACATCCTCGAAATTCCTGCGCGCTGGACGCGGCACGCGCGAGACATCCTCGGAATTCCTGCGCGCGAGTCTTCCTTTGCATCCAAGTCCTGACCGAACTGATCTGGATCTGAAGCTCGAGCTTCCTGAACACATAGTAGCTGCCCCAGAGCTAATTGACAGGGGGACATGCCAGGAGGACGCGCCGCGAAACGTCCCCAGGGACGCGCCAGGCGACGTGCCAAGGGACGTGCCATGGGGTCGCACCGTAGGCCGTGCCAAGGGGACGCGCTACGGGACATCCTCAAAATTCCTGCGCGCGGGACGTGGCACGCGCGAGACATCTTCCGAATTCCTGCGAGCGGGACGTGAAAACAAGCATTTCGCCTGAGACATCCTCTGAATTCTGGCCCCCCACGAGGCCCCCGCTCGAGACATCCCCAAGTTTGCAGAAACCAGCGTTTCGCTCGAGACATCCTCAACAAATTATGAAAAACAAGCGTTTCGCTCGAGACATCCGGTCAAAATTCTAAGAAATCCTGACAAAACAAACGAATTAGTCGAGACATCCTCGAAATTCCTGCGCGCGGGACGCGGCCCGCGCGAGACATCCTTGGAATTCCCGCGAGCGGGACACGAAAACAAGCATTTCGCCTGAGACATCCTCTGAATTCTGGCCCCCCGCTCGAGACATCTCCAAATTTTGCGGAAACCAGCGTTTCGCTCGAGACATCCTCCACAAACTATGTAAAATAAGCGTTTCGCTCGAGACATCCTGCCAAAGTTCTAAGAAATCCTGACAAAACAAGCGAATTAGTCGAGACATCCTCGAAATTCCTGCGCGCGGGACGCGGCACGCGCGAGACATCCTCGGAATTCCTGCGCGCGGGGCGCTTTTCCGAGTCGCGGTCGGGGCTCCAGACCCCGTTATTTTTCGAGGATTCTGCGAAAAACGCTCCGCACCCTCTTTTTTACGAGGGAAAGCGGGGGTCTGCGGACCCCGTTATTTATCGAGGATCCGAGATGGGGGGCGAACTTTCCTCGAGCGGGCACGCACAAAACGCACTTTTTCTAAAAAAATCAGCACTTTACCTCGTTATTTATCGCAAATAATTTCGCCGGCGCTTGACCCGTCAGATCCGGGGGTAAACGGCTAAAAGAGAACCCTGGGCCCACGCCCTTTCCGGGAACAAGCGTTTCGCTCGAGACATCCTGTCAAAATCCCAAGAAATCCAAATACCCGCGCGCGGGACGCGGCACGCGCGAGACATCCTTGGAATTCCTGCGCGAGGGGCGCTTTTCCGTGTCGCGGTCGGCTCTGCAAAACCAGCGTGTCGCTCGAGACATCCTCAACAAATTCTGAAACCAAGCGTTTCGCTCGAGACATCCCCAACTCTGCAAAACCAGCGTCTCGCTCGAGACATCCTCAACAAATTCTGAAAAACAAGAGTTTCGCTCGAGACATCCTCAAAAATAATTTCGCCGGCCCTACTCCGTGCGTGCCCGCTCGCAAAATAATTTCGCCGGCCCAAGTCGCAGGGGGGCCGGAGGGTTAACCTACTAAAAGAGAACCCTGGGCCCACGCCCTTTCCGGGAAAAACAGGCATGCGTACATGCCTGCATCAACTCATGCGGCAATGTGTTCGCAATCATGCGCTGCATGGCGTGGCGCTGGTGCTCAAGACAAGGGTGGATACGCGGCACTTCAACGATACGGGCACATCCCGCATGATTCGGCTCATTCGTGTGATACCATGTCTTGGTTCACGTGTTTCTGGCTCTCGCTGCCTCCTACTGTTTGTCCCCATACGTCCCCGTCGCTCATTATCTACATGTTATCCTTCTTTCGGATTTCTCTCTCTCTCTCTCGCTCTCTCTCTCTCTCTCTCTCTTTGTCCCAGTCCCTGTCAAGTACAGTCAGGCCCCTGCAAGAAGGAACGCTAACTCAGGAACGAAGACCTTTTTATCAACTTACCCTGGCGACGTACCCAACCCCTGCGCAATGCGGGGCATGAGTAGCTTGGGAGACGTTATACGGACGTGGTGGCGTGACATGGCCGCATCTACTTCTGCGAGCGGCAGTCGTGAGGCTCGCAGCCCCCCAAGGATTGCGATGTCCCGCTCAGATCTGCCTGGTGCCTCGCCCCGCTGGACCCACTAGCAGCCCTCGAAAGTGGCGACGGTCTCGCAGATCGCAGCTCCCCAGGGACGGCGAGGTCCCGCTCAGGTCCGCGCGATGCCTCACTCCGCAGGACCCACCAGCAGCACTCGAAAGTGGCGGCAATTTCGCAGATCGCAGCCCCCCAGGGACGGCGAGGCCCCGCTCAGATCCGCGTGGTGCCTCACTCCGTAGGAACCACCAGCAGCCCTCGGAAGTGGCGACGGTTTCGCAGATCGCAGCCCCCCAGGGACGGCGAGGTCCCGCTCAGATCCGCGCGGTGCCTCACTCCGCAGGACCCACCAGCAGCCCTCGAAAGTGGCGACAGCTTCGCAAATCGCAGCCCCCCAGGGACGGCGAGGTCCCGCTCAGGTCCGCGCGGTGCCTCACTCCGCAGGACCCACCGGCAGCCCTCGAAAGCGGCGACAGCTTCGCAAATCGCAGCCCCACCAGGGACGGCGAGGTCCCGCTCAAGTCCGCGCGGTGCCTCACTCCGCAGGACCCACCAGCAGCCCTCGAAAGTGGTGACAATTTCGCAGATCGCAGCCCTCAAGGACGGCGAGGTCCCGCTCAGGTCCGCGCGGTGCCTCACTCCGCAGGACGCACCGGCAGCCCTCGAAAGAGGCGACAATTTCGCAGATCGCAGCCCCCCAGGGACCCGGGAAGGCGAGGTCCCGCTCAGGTCCGCGCGGTGCCTCACTCGGCAGGACCCACCAGCAGCACTCGAAAGTGGCGACAGTTTGGCAAATCGCAGCTTCCCAGGGACGGCGAGGTCCCCCTCAGGTCCGCGCGGTGCCTCACTCCGCAGGACCCACCGGCAGCCCTCGAAAGCGGCCACAACCTCGCAGATCGCAGCCCCCTAAGGACGGCGAGGTCCCGCTCAGGTCCGCGCGGTGCCTCACCCCGCAGGACCCAGCAGCAGCCCCCGAAAACGGCGACAATTTCGCAGATCGCAGCCCCCCAGGGACGGCGAGGTCCCGCTCAGGTCCGCGCGGTGCCTCACTCCGCAGGACGCACCGGCAGCCCTCGAAAGTGGCGACAGCTTCGCAGATCGCAGCCCCACCACGGACGGCGAGGTCCCGCTCAGGTCCGCGCGGTGCCTCACTCCGCAGGACCCATCAGCAGTCCTCGACAGTGGCGACAGTTTGCAGATCGCAGCCCCCCAGGGACGGCGAGGTCCCGCTCGGGTCCGCGCGGTGCCTCACTCTGCAGGACCCAGCAGCAGTCCTCGAAAATGGCGGCAATTTCGCAAATCGCACCCCCCCAGGAACGGCGAGGTCCCGCTCAGATCCGCGCGGCGCCTCGCTCCACAGGACCCACCAGCAGCCCTCGAAAGTGGTAACAATTTCGCAGATCGCACCCCCCAAGGGACGGCGAGGTCCCGCTCAGGTCCGCGCGGTGCCTCGCTCCGCAGGACCCACCAGCAGCCCTCGAAAGTGGCGACGGTCTCGCAGATCGCAGCCCCCCAGGGACGGCGAGGCCCCGCTCAGGTCCGCGCGGTGCCTCACTCCGCAGGACCCACCAGCAGCCCTCGAAAGTGGCGACAGCTTCGCAGATCGCAGCCCCCCAGGGACGGCGAGGTCCCGCTCAGGTCCGCGCGGTGCCTCACTCCGCAGGACCCACCAGCAGCCCTCGAAAGCGGCGGCAATTTCGCAGATCGCAGCCCCCCAGGGGCGGCGAGGTCCCGCTCAGGCGTGCGCGGTGTTTCACTCCGCAGGGCCCACCAACAGCCCGCGAAAGTGGCGACAGTTTCGCAAATCGCAACCCCCCAGGGACGGCGAGGCCCCGCGCAGGTCCGCGCGGTGCCTCACCCCGCAGGACCCACCAGCAGCCCTCGAAAGTGGCGACAGCTTCGGAGATCGCAGCCTCACAGCGACGGCGAGGTCCCGCTCAGGTCCGCGCGGCGCCTCACTCCGCAGGGCCCGCCAACAGCAGTCGAAAGTGGCGACAGTTTCGCATATCACAGCCCCCCAGGGACGGCGAGGTCCCCCTCAGGTCCGCGCGGTGCCTCACTCCGCAGGACCCACCAGCAGCCCTCGAAACTGACATCAATTTACAGATCGCAGCCCCCCAATGGATGGCGAGGTCCTGTTTGGATCCGTGGTGAATACCCTCTCTGCTGTCCCCCCCCCAGCAGCCCTCGAAAGTGGTGACAATGTTTACAAATCGCAGCCCCCCAGGGATGGGGAGGTCCTGTTTGGGTCCGCGGTGAGTGCCCTCTCTGGTGGCCTCCCTAGCAACCCTCGAACGCGGCGACAGATTCACAGATCGCACCCCCCAGGGATGGCGAGGTCCTGTTTGGGTCCGCGGTGGGTGCACTCTCTGCTGGCCTCCCCAGCAGCCCCCGAAAGTGGCGACAGTTTCACAGATCGCAGCCCCCCAGGGATGGCGAGGTTCTGTTTGGATCAGCGGTGAGTGCCCTCTCCGCTGGCCTCCCCAGCAGCCCCCGAAAGTGGCGACAGTTTCACAGATCGCAGCCCCCCAGGGATGGCGAGGTCATGTTTGGATCCGCGGTGGTCGCCCTCTCTGCTGGCCTACCCAGCAGCCCTCGAACGCGGCGACAGTTTCGGAGATCGCAGCCCCCAGGGATGGCGAGGTCCTGTTTGGATCCGCGGTGGGTGCCCTCTCTGCTGGCCTCCCCAGCAGCCCATCGAAAATGGCGAAAGTTTCACAGGTCGCAGCCCCCCAAGGATGGCGAGGTCCTGTTTGAATCCGCGGCGAACGCCCTCTCTGCTGGCCTCCCCAGCAGCCCTCGCAAGTGGCGACAGTTTCACAGATCGCAGCCCCCCCCCCAAGGATGGCGAGGTTCTGTTTGGGCCCGCGGTCCCTCTCTGCTGGCCTCGCCAGCAGCCCTCGGAAAGGTCTCGCTCAAATCTGCGCGGCGCCTCCACCCACGCGGCGAGAGGAGACGAGAGGGAAGCGGGGGGCGGGGGGATCAAGGCGCCACCGCGGTGCTCTATTCAAAACGAATACCCAACCAAGGAGGTTTGAACCGAGACCTGTTTATCAACAAATAGATTACCCAGGGACGCGCCCAACCCTTTGGCAACAGGTGACATTATCAACTGGCGCTTTCAAAATAGCTGGACATCCTCTGGAAGTCCAAGAGGCCCACGACAGCGACGACAATTGCATTTTCGGCAATCGCCGCGCTTGATGGTCAAGCGGCGTACTTCGCTCAACGAAGAATCAGCGCCCCGCGCTCTCGAGTGACAGCGCTGCGCACGGCGCTACAGGACGACGCCGCGCGGCCGATCAGCGAACAGCGCTTTGCGCTCGATCCTGGTGTCCACATACTGCCTGCACCAAGGCCGCGCCTTCTGTACCCCCCATCCGCGCTTCCCCATGCCACGGAGAAACAGCGCCGCACGCTCGGGCCACAATGACAGCGCCGCGCGCTTCGAGAAGGGGCCGCACCCCGCGCTGGCTTTCGAAATATCAACGCCCCCCTGGGGAATATGTTGGTGGAGCAACAATGTGAAGGGAACGGCGCTGCGAAGATTCGTAGGACTCGTCCTAGACATCGGATCAGTCGAACGAGCTGCGCACTCGACCAGCGGCTCACTGGAGCTGCTCGAAGAGGCGGAGCTCGCGGGCACCAATCGCGCGATGGGCGATCTCGGCATACCCGTCGAATGTCACGTCGCCAGCAGTCTCTTGACGCCCAGCTCCTTCCCGGTCTGGAAGCACAGTGGCAAAACGCACGTGCAGGTCCCGCCCGGGCGGCCAGTGACAACTCGGACGGAGCGCCTGGAATCGCAGGCCACTGATAATGAGGACTGCGCCGTTGCAGATGGCAAACAACGAGTTTCGTCGTCGTAGGGCAAATGTCGAAGCCTCCACGGCCCGTCACATGGATCGATCGAGAGTGCCCGAAAGCGGCGACAGTTGCGAACATGATCGACCCACGAACCCGGAAAGGAATATAGAAATGTAACGCATGGCAACGTTTTCAAAGACACCTGATTGGGTGACGGGCAAATGCAATGCTGAGTGTATCGATCTTGATGTACCCTGCCGAGGGCTGTGCTGTGCTACACCGTGCTGAATTGCGATGTGCCGTGCCGCGGTTGTGCTCTATAGCGTCGTGGATCGAGTCTTCCTTTGCATCCGAGTCCTGACCGAACTGATCTGGATCTTAAGCTCGAGCTGCCTGAACAAATATTAGCTGCCCCAGAGCTAATGGACAAGGGGGCATGCCAGGAGGACGCGCCGCGAAACGTCCCAAGGGACGCGCCAGGCGGCGTGCCAGGGGACGTGCCATGGGGTCGCACCGCCGGACGTGCCAAGGGGACGCGCTACGGAACGTGCCAATGGATGTGCCACGGAATGTGCCAGGGGACGCGCCACGCGACGTGCCAGGGGGACTCGCCAAGGGACGCCCCACGGAACGTGCCAAGTTGCAATGCTGAGTGTATCGATCTTGATGTACCGTGCCGAAATCTGTGCTGTGCTGCGCCGTGCCGAATTGCGATGTGCCATGCCGCGATTGTGCTCTATAGCCTCGTGGATC